GGCCATTTTTTGGTTGTAGCCATCATTGTTGTTTGGCGGGCCCGGGCTGGGGATTCGAACCCGCCACCATAGGTGTATGTGGCTGGCACCCTAGCTGCTTGAGCCACAGGCGCCGAGCCAAGAATATCCTTTTTACCTGCTTCAGTTTTTTCTTTTTCTCTTTACTGGAGAGTTTGACGTCTGTTATGACTTCCTCCAACAAAGCGGCCAGGGGTTCCTGAGAACCATATGCTCTTTGATATTCAAATTCCTCTGGACTAATTTGACGGCAAAATGATGGAGCAGATAAAGTGATATCCATGTCGGCTCCTGGATATTTTATCTGAGGCAAAAATAGTAGTAAAATAAAATGATGCATTTTCAAATAAATTATAAAAATTAGTTCAGATCAAACACGGTCTATTTCCTTGTACTGTAGAAGTGGCACATCCTTCCTCTAAATTTTATCGAGAGAAACTATGTTGAAAAGTAAATGTATTCCTGTAACTTTAAAATATAATTTAAAGTGACTTTTAATTTTTGTAATTTTATTTAAAATATTAAGGGGGTACAAATATTGTTGTTACATGGACACTTTGTACAATACTTAAATCAAGGCTTTTGGTAGGACTGGCACAAGAATGAAGTTCATCGCACCCCAAAGGTAAGGTTTTATCCCACACACATCCCCTTCTTGGTTTCCAATATCTCTTAGGTCACACTGTGCCTATGTGTATCCATAATTTAGCCCCCACTTATTAGTGAGAACATACGGTATTTGGTTTGCCATTCCTGAGATACTTAAATAGGATAATGATCTCCAATTCCATCCAAGTTGCTGCAAAAGACATGACTTCATTCCTTTTTGATGGCTGAATAGTACCATGGTATATACATACACTTTCTTTAGCCACTTATCCATCTATGGCCTTTTAGCTTGGTTCCACATCTTTGCAATTGTGAATTGTGCTGCAATAAACATTGGAGTGTAGATGTCTTTCTGAAAAAAACAAAAATTACTTCTTTTTCTTTATGTAGATACCCAGCTGTGGGACTGTACATCAAGTGGAAGCTAGACATTTATTTCTTTGAGGAATCTCCATACTGTTTTCCATATAGATTGTATGAATTTGCAGCTCCACCAGCAGTGTGTAAGCATTCCTTTCTCTCTGCATCCATACCAGCATCTCTTGATTTTTGACCTTTAAATGGTCATTCCAATAGTAAGGTCACATCTCATTGTGGTTTTAATTTGCACTTCCCTGATGATGAGCAATGTTGAACACTTTGTAAAATGTTTGTAGGCCATTCTTCTATTTTTCTTTTGAAAAACTTCTCTTCATATCTTTTACCCACTTTCTGATAAAGTCGTTTGTTTTTTTCTTATTGAGTTCTCTACAAACTTTAGACATTAGTCTGTTGTTGGGTGTATAGTTTGCAAATATTTTCTCCCATTCTATAGGCTGTCTATTCACTCTGTTAATTGTGTTCTTCACTATGCAGAAGGTTCTATTTTTTTTTCCTTTTTTTTTTTGGAGACAGACTCTAACTATGTCGCCCTTGGTAGAGTGCTATGACATCAGAGCTCACGGCAACCTCAAACTCTTGGCCTTGAGGGATTCTCTTGTCTCAGCCTCCTGAGTAGCTGGGACTACAGGCACCCACCACAACGCCTGGCTATTTTTTTGTTGAAGTTGTCATTGTTGTTTTAGCAGGCCCGGGCCAGGCTCGAACCCACCAGCTTTGGTGTATGTGGCCAGCGTCCTACTCACCAAGCTACTGGCACTGAGCCTATGCAGAAGCTTTTAAATTTAATTAAGTCCCATTTATTTATTTTTATTGTTGCTATATTTGCCTATGGGATATTAGTCATAAACTCTTTGTCTGGGCTGATATCTAGGAGAGTTTTTCCTACATTTTCTTTCTGAATTTTTATGGTTCCATGCTTTAAAGTCTTTTACCCATCTTGAATTAGTTTTTGTGTATGGTAAGTGATATAAGTCCTGTTTCATTCTTTTGCGTATGGCGATCTAGTTTTCCCAGCACTATTTACTAAACAGGGCTTCCCTACCACAGCATATGCTATTGTCTATTCTCTTGAAGATCAGCTGGTTGTGGGTAGACGGATTTACATCCAGGTTGTCTATTCTGTTCCATTGGTCTATATCTCTACTTTTATGCCAGTATCATGCTGTTTTGGTTACTATAACCTTATAGTACAAGCTAAAGTGAGGTGTCGGGGCCTCTAGATTTGCTCTTTATGCTTAGGATCTTAGGATTGCTTTAGCTATTTCAGGTCCTTTAGGTTCCAAATGAAGATTAAAATTATTTTTTCTAGGTCTACAAATAAGATGATGGCATTTTGATGGAAAATGCATTGAATTTGTAAATCACTTTCAGTAGAATGGACATTTTAATGATGTTGATTATGCCAATCTGAGAGGAAGGGATGCTTTTCCATTTGTTTGTGCCATCTGTGATTTTTTTCATCAGTGTTTTGTAGTTCTCCTTATAGAGATCTACCACTTTCTTGGTTAAGTTTGTTCCTAGGTATTTTATTTTTGTGGCTGTTGTAAATGGCTTGAGTCCTTGATTTGACTTTGAGCTTAACAGTTATGCCGTAGTCCCCGAGTTACAAACATCTAAATGAATGGGGGCTATTACGGGTAATAGGTAAATGTTCCTGTTCCAACTTAAGAACAAACCTATAGAACCTATCTAGTTCATAACTCAGAGACTTCCTATAATTTATATATGTTGATTTTATAACCTAAGACTTTGCTGAACTTATTTATCAATTCTAGCAGTCCTTTGATTGAATTTTTAAGATTTTCTGAATATAAATTCATATCATCAGCAAACAGGGATAATTTAACCTCCTCTTTTTTTATTTAGATGCCCTTTATTTCTTTCTTATATTTGATTGTTCTGGCTAGGACTTTCAAGGACTTCCAGTACTATGTTGAATAGAGGTGGCTACAGTTGGCACCCCTGTCTTGTTCCAGTTCTTAGGGGTAATATTTCAACTTTTCCCCATTCAATATGATGTTGGCTGTGGGTTTTGTGGTATATGGCTTTTGTAATTTTGAGGTATGTTCTTTTAATGCCTAATTTTATAAGCGTTTTTGATCATACAAGGGTGGTGAATTTTATTAAATGCCTTTTCTGTATCACTGAGATGATCATTCTGATTTTTGTTTTTCTACTTCTATGAAGTGAATTGCATTTACTGATTTACATACATTGAGCTACCCTTGCATCCCTGATATGAAACCCACCATAATGGTGAATAATCTTTCAGATGTGCTGTTGGATTCAGACCCTTAGTATTTTGTTAAGGATTTTTGCATCTATATTCAGAAGATTAGTCTATAGATTTTTCTGTTGTTTCCTTTTCAGGCTTTGTTATCAAGGTGATACTGACTTCATAGAGTGAGTTAGGGGAGATTTCTCTCCTTCTTGGAGTTACGGATTAATTTCTATAGGATAGGGACCTGTTGTTCTCTGAGAGTCTGGTAGAATTGGTTTGTGAATCCATCTGATCTGGGTCTTTGTGTTGGCAAATTTTTGTTTTCTTGTTTTTTTCTTTAGAGAAAAAGAAGTTCCTGGGTAGAGTGGCATGGCATTATCATGGCTCACGGCAATCTCAAACTCCTAGGCTCAAGCAATCCTCCTGCCTCAGCCACTCAAGTAGCTGGGACCAGAGGTGCCTTTCACAACACCAGCTCATTTTTCTATTTAGAAAAGAGACAGGGTCTCACTCTTGCTCAGGGTGGTATCAAACTCCTGACTTTAAGCAATCCACATGACTTGCCCTCTCAGAGTGCTAGAATTACAAGTATGAGCCATTCTGCCTGGCCAAGAAATTTTTTTATGACTGCTTCAATGTTGCCACCCATTACTGGTCTGTTCAAAAATTTTTCTGTCTTCCTGACTCAGCTTGGGAGGTTGTATGTTTCCAGGAATTTGCCCATTTCCTCTAAGTATTCTGTTTTGTTTGCATGAAGGTTTTAGTTGTATTCACAGGTAATATTTTGGATTTCCACAGTATCAGTTGTAATGTCTCTTTTTTCATTTCTGATTGAGTTTATTTTGGTCCTTTCTTTTCTATTTATGGTTACTCTGGCTAACGGTCTATTGATATTGTTTCTCTTTTCAAAGAACCAACTTTTAGCTTCATAGATCCCTTGTATTATTTTTGTTTGTTTGTTTCCCATTTCACGTAGTTCTCCTCTGAGCTATTATTTCTTTTCTTCTGCTGGATTTAGGTTTGGTCTGACTTTTTTCTAACTCCTTGAGATATGACATTAAGTTGTTAATTTGTGATCCTCTGTCTTTTTCGTTGAAGTCATTTAAAGCTATGACTTTTCTCCTTATGACTGCTTTTACTGTAACCCATAGATTTGGGGGCTTTTGTCCCCTTTGTCATTCAGTTCAAGGAATCTTGATTTCCATCCTAACTTCATCATTGATCCAAGGATCGTTCAGCATCAGTTTGTATAATTGCCATGACTTCATGTAGAATTGAGTGTTTCTCTTGGAATAGATGTCTAGTTTTATTCCACTATGGCCTGAGAAGGTACATGGTATGATTTTGATTTTTTTGAATTTGCTGAGACTTGATCTGTAGCCTAAGATATGATCTATCTTGGAAAATGTTCCATGTACCAATAAGAAGAATGTATGTTCATTGGGGATAGAATGTCCTACAAATGTCTGTTAGGTCCATTTGTTCGACAGTCTCATTTAAGTTCATCGTTTTATTCATATTCTGCCTCAGTTGTGTCAGTGGGTATGGAAGTCTCAGGCTTTAAGATACTACTACTTATTTCTTTACTTAGATCTTATAGAATTTGCTTAACGAATCTGGGAGTTTCCGTGTTAGGTGCATATATATTTAGAATTATTATTTCTTCTTGTTGAATTGCTCCCCTTACCATTATATAATGACCACCTTTATCTTTTTTAACATTATTGATATAAAGTATATATTGTCTGATATGAGAATGACTATGCCTGCTCCATTTGGCTTCCATTTGCATGGAATATATATATACACACATACACACACACACACACATATATATATATATTTGAGACAGAGTTTTACTATGTTGCCCTCGGCAGAGTGCCATGATGTCACAGCTCATAGCAACCTCAAACTCTTGGGCTTAAGTGAATCTCTTGCCTCAGCCTCCCAAGTAGCTGGGACTACAGGTGCATGCCATAATGCCTGGCTATTTTTTGTGTGTGTGCAGTTGTCATTGTTGGTAGCTGGCCGGGCCAGGCTCAAACCTGCCAGCCTTGGTGCATTGGGCTGGCGCTATAACCACTGTGCTTCAGGCGCCGCACCTGCATGGAATATAATTTTGTATCCTTTAACCTCCTTCAGTATAAAGACAGAAGATACTTCAGTTGTGTTTTTTCATCCATTATTTGTCTTTAAGTTGGGCATTCAGACTGTTCATGTTGAGTGTTAGTAAGAATATGTTCATTGTCTTCTTTTCCCACTTGGGAATTTTTACCCTAGTTGGTATCTATGGTGCTGTTCCATATACACTGCATTTTGGAACATTTTCTTTCTGTGGGGCAAGTCTAGTGTGACAAATTCCCTTAGCATTTGCTTGTATGGAAAAGTCTTTATTTCTCCATCATTTACGAAATGTAGTTTTTCAGAGTACAAAATTCTTGGCTTGCAATTGTCTTTTTAAGACAACTAAAAACAAGGCCCCAATCCCTTCTGGCTTGTAAGGTCTCTAATAAGAAGTCTACTGTTAGCCTGGTGGGTTTTCCTTTTCCTTTGTAGGTTAACTGTTTGCTTTCCTGTTGTAGCAGGTATAATTATATTTTTTCGTTCATTTTAACTTTGTTCAAGTTGATGATTATATGTCTTAGAGATGGTCTATTTGCTATGAATCCTCCTAGTGTTCAGTGACCATCTTGTATTTGGATATCTGAATCTCTGGCAATACCAGGTTAGTTCTTCTCAATAAACCCTTGAATAGGCTTTCCATGTAAATCCACAGTTTTAAATATTAGATTTTTACCTTTTAAACCCAAACTTCATTTGAATAAATTCTAAAAATCTTATGTCCTCTTTTAATAGGATTGAAATTTAAATACAAATTAAACATATAGACTAAATAATTCAAAACCATTACAATGTTGGGCATACATGGTGAACTATTATTCAGGCTTTTTCTCACCTGTGGAGAATTTGACTCTCCTTCCCTTTGGGATGGATAGAAGCATATATTTAGCTAAGCTGTTATGTAGAGAGAGGACTGTAACAATCTCCAAACATTTTACTGACAAGAATCAAGTGAAAACAAGAAATGTGCTGATACTACACAAGGCAAAAGGGAGAAGGGAGAAAATAAGAGGAAAAAGAAAACCAAGACTTGTGAATAAATGAACATATATTAAAAATATTTAACTTCAGGGCAGCACCTGTAGCTCAAAGGAGTAGGGTACCGGCCCCCATATACTGGAGGTGGTAGGTTCAAACCCAACCCTGGCCAAAAACTGCAAAAAAAAAAAAAATTTAACTTCAGAGTCCAGAGTCTTTCCAAAATGATAGCATCCTGTTTTTCTACAGTGGATGATTTCCACTATTATATTCACATCTTTAAGACTTTTTTCCTATAGGTCACAGTTAAAAGTAAACAAATATATTGCCAGGAGAGGTTATTACATAAGCACATTCCATGCCTCAATAGCAGTTTATCAGATCAATTAGAGACAGACAACCTAAGAGAAAAAAAGCAGAACCCTAAGGAAAACAGGCCGACTTAGGACATTTCCTTTTTTATTTGATGAAGGGCAAAAAATAGAAAAGGATCAGAATAAAGGATAAGATCCAGGTGGACTGTACCGGCCAGAAGCTCAGAGCATAAGAAAAACATTGCAGACTAGGAGTGAAGGGCACAAGAAGAGTTGCAGACAACAGAGAGAAGGCTGGTATCAAATGTATTGCCTACCTCACAATTTATCCCAGAGGCAGCCTTGAATGTGCCTCAAAACAAATCACGGGAATAATACAAGCAGCACTGTGCATTTTCAGAGAAGTAACGCTTTAACTCAATGTGCTGTGGCATAGGGGCTCATTCAAGAGAACAGAGATCTTAAGCTCTAAGGCCTAAAAGGAACAATTGCTTGTCAATTCTACAGTGTATTTCCAAGAGAGAAAAAGTAATTGAACAATTGAGTACTCATTGACTTTATTCAGTACACAGCACAGGGCCTCTTCACAAGATCACATTTATCTGCAGTAAAATTAATCATCACAGCTAAGCTTTCTAATCTTCGCTTGACAGCAAAGAGCTCACAGGGGTAAGCTGCCACAATATATGCCTGTGCTGTGTGTATGAATACACAAACCTAGCAAGTACACAGGGCAAAATAGTACTGCTTCAACATTTCCCTGCAGAAATTCAATGAACTATTTCTTTTCGTTTTTACTTTTTTTAAATTTGGTTCATAAAAATATCAGGGGAAAGAAGAATAAACTAAAATAGCAATAATATTATATTTTTCACCTATGAAAATGGTAAAGTTACATGTGTGTGTCAATCATGATATCCAAAATAGGCGATGGTGCAAAGAAATGAACACTCACCTTCCTACACCACCGAATGGAATGCAAAGGGAAATAATCATCCCCAAGGGACATTTGGCAATATGCTTATCAATACTTAAAATATGTGCATGCCTTTTACCAAGCAATGCTGCTGCTGGGAATTTATTCTTAGCAAATAATCACAGATCAGACAAAAAAAATCTAGCTATAAAATGTTTACTGTTGTATTGATTGCAAAGAGGAAGAAAAACATGGAAATAATCTAAATATCATCTGAAAACCAAATTATGGCATATGCATATTATGGAATTCCAGGTTGTCAATAATAACATCATAGAATAACAATTATGATGATAACAACAACACCACCAACAGCAGCTACAAACTGACGGTTTACAATGTGATAAACACTATTCTAAGTACCTTACATTCATTAAGCCATTCGATTCCCAAAACAACCCTATAAAGTTAAGTATTATTATTTCCACTTTATAAATGAGATGTTGGGACAGATGTTGAAGACATATGAACGTGTCTAAAGTCACAAGTTAACAGAGGGCATGTGATAAATTCAAACCCCATTAAGCTATAGAGTCTGTGCTCTTGGTCACTCTATTGTCAATGAAGCATATTTAATCATGGGGGAAATTTTTCTCATCATATTGTTAAGAGAAGGAAGAAAGGAAGGAAGGAAGGTAAGAAAGAAAAAACACAGGCAAGAAACACAAGTAGGCACACATGCAGACAGCAGATACACACATAGACAAACAAAAGTACCTGGATTATAATACTATGAACAGTTTGGTATAACTCTGATATTTTTTGTGTGAACTTTCACTTTCCAAATTTCTTCAAAGTGTTAGGTTGATAATTACAAAAAATAGAAAAAAATTTTTAATTTCCAAATTACATTCTGTAAACAGTTGAACAGCTAATTATTTTCATAGTACCTTGAGAGGCAGCAGTTCACTGGTACTTAATAATAGAGTCTCAAAAAACTAATAATAATAATAGAGTCTCAAAAAGTGTTTAAGAGAAAAGAAGCCAAATCAGTCAGAAGGAGCCAGACAGACCTTCTGCCTCCCTCGACCAAGTTTCTGCTCCCAGAGTCTGACATACAAACCCCACTGTGGAGCCCATATGATAGTAATATATTACATTTCTTTTGCATCATTTTAACATAATCCAACAATAGCAGCTGTGTTTTAAAGATTATCTGCCATGTGTCAGAAATTCACACCTGGGGGTTTTCAATGAAGTATTTATTTTAAGAGACAGAGTCTCACTACATTGCCTAGGCTGGACTCAGACTCCGGGCTTCAGCAATCCTCCTGTCTCAGTCCCAAGTAGCTAGGGTTTTCAGGCACTAGGCATGTGCTTCTGTGCCTATAGTGTTCTAATCTTTACACCTTCATAAAGTAAGAATGGCTCATTTTAATGCTTCAGGAAAGTAAAATCTGGAGGATTTAAGGAGCTTTACCCACAGTCACACAACTAGGAGAGAGTAAGCCAGGAGTTGGGCCAGGGTTGCATGGCTCTGATGCCAGTGTTCTTCAACTATACCAGGTGTTTAGAAAGGCAGTGAGGAAAGACAGTTTAGAGCACTGATTTTGGAGGCTGACTGCATCAGTGTGAATTCTGGCTCTGTGATCTGTACAAGTTACTTAAGTTTTCTGTGCCTGAGCTTTCTCTTGTGAAAAGAGTAACCTAAGTCACAAGGCTACTAAGAATCAGGACATTTATTGCACATAAATCATTTCTATCAGTAAGTACATGTAGATTCTGAACAAACTCACGCAAGGAATTTGCAACCCAAAATATGCAGCATTGATTGACAGAACAAAACCAAGTATGCATTCCTTAAGTATCTCAGTGATGACAGCAAACATATGTAGCACTGCCAAAACCTGTTATGAGCACTTTGTACATACTAATTCACTTAATTTTCAAAACAAAATGTCCCAAGAAACCTTGCAAGCTTATGGTACTCTCCAGTGCCAATCTTACAGGACTGAAAATATCTTCTCCTTTACCTGGACTCTTCGTAGATGAGCCACACGCTCCTCTATAGAGGTCTGCAAGGCCAAAGGCACTTTCAGAATTTCCTGATAATTGTCCATCAGAAACGTCACCAACCTAGCAGCTAATAGCTCATCCAAGTCCACTTCATCCTTGGAACACAGGATGCAACGGGAAAATGTCTGAACCATCTGAAAAGGGGTGGGTGGGTGGAGGGTGGTAGATAAAAACAAGTGAGTTTAAGAAACTTGCAGAAAGATGCTCATCTGGGCAATTTTTAATGGCATCCCCTTTTACATATGATTTTAAATATACACATATAGGTATGTAATTGTATGTGTATATATTAATACAGAAACAAAATTCTAAAAATTCTTGTTACTACTTGAGTCACACTGCACTTTCAAATTAAAGTACATTATAGCCATTCAGTCAAATAACATCCTAATATCATTATTGATTTTTTAAAAATTCAGCTTAACAATCTATATGCCTCAACCACTACATTTTCCCTAGGCAATTTATTTTCTCTAGGATTTTGAATATATATTTGATAATCACCTTTGAACAAAGCTATGAGAATTTACAAGAAGTGCATTAAATGATAAGACTCTTTATACCAAGCAGAAACACGAAATATATTACAGCATATGACATATAATGTAATATCACATCATATCCACAGACTTCATATTAGCTACTCCATTCTTAATACTATATCCTTTGGACTTTCTTATCTTTTCCTTCTTATTTTACTGCTGACAATCTTACTTTCAAACCTACAAGCATGAAATTATATAATTCTGTCTAATTAAGAGACGTCATTTCATCAACACACTGCAAATGATCTTTACTGACATTCATGTGTACAGAGAGACACATTGGAAGAGACTTTTTTTTTTTTTTGGCCTAGTGACACCATGGACCCCAGGGAATCTGTGAACACCTTGAAATTGTATGCAAAATGTTCACACATACACTTCATGGGGAACAGACACAAAGTTTTCTTTAGCTTTTCAAAAAGGATGGGCCAAAAAAGAAGTCAACAGTCACTCTACTGGGTGTGGAGGGCATCTCTGATCTCACTCCATTACTCTGAAGCTGGACTGGTGGATCACCAGGGACCACACAGAGTTCAGCAGGATGTGGAAAGCACTTGCATTCCAATGAAGCACCAATTTCGTTCTAAGACTTTTTTTGAGGAAAATTAAGAGCTTTTGCTAATAAGTAAACTCTAAACAAAAACTCCATTTAAAAACACATGCTGATAGAAACAAAGAGTAGGATGGTCACCAGAGGCTGGGGGTGCAGAGTTGGAAATGGGAGACACTGGCCAAAGTTCCAGTGAAGCAGGAGGAATAAGTGTTAGTGGTCCACTGCACGGCACAGTCGCCAGTTATAATAATGTGCTGTGTATTTCAAAATTACTAAAAGAATAGATTTCTAATGTTCCCACCATAAAAAGAAATGCTAAATTCGTGAGGGGATAGATACATTAATTAGCTTGACTGAATCTTTCTGTAACAGGTACATAGATCAAAACATCACAGCCTACCCCATAAATATACAATTATTCCCTAGCAAATAAATAAATAAATTTACAGAAATAGTGGTAAAAGAGGGAGTTGCAGGTTTCTCTACACTCAGAGTCTGCCCCCTCCTCAGTCTTCACTTGTCATTAAGTTCTTAGACCGAAAGTCCAAGTCTGGGTGAAGACCAGACCGTGACTCCTTAAATAAGTCAGCCTAGCACATTCCTCTGCTCTCCCGGAGTAGTTAACTTTACTTAGTTGAATGTTGTTCCCCAAACTCATCACATCAGATATTCGAAGTCAGCCTACCAGCGTTCGGGTGCCAACGCCATCACACAGTGGGGGCATCTCCTTGTTTAAGCAGATCCTTGCCATCATCCTCATCAATAGCTGTAACTTTCTCCTGTTTTCGGGAGGCAGGAGGAGGCAGCAAATCTGAAATGCTTCCACTGCCATTTTCTCCTTCTGTAGCAAACCTAATTTAGAAAAAAAGCTTTTAAGGTTTTAAAATCTATAGCCTACTTGACTACGTAGGTTCACATTTTAATGCAATGTACATTATTAAAATTACATAAAATATTTTCACATATTCAGCTATACTGGGCCAATTGAAAATAGATCCATCGTCACTCTCAATTCATCACGCAAAATATGAACCATCAACCAGGAATGACAAATATATAGAACTAAATACAGCCATTTCTCCTCCCATATGCTAGACACATGTGTGTAAATTTTCACAGCATTCTTTCCCACTGAACCAGGAGCAGTCAGGCTAATGCTAACCTACCCGTCCACACTCACACTATCAGTAGGTCCAAGAGCAAGCACACGAATATGCCACTGCTGCCCTGAATTCTCCCCTGTGTATTATTTCCTCGTGATTAGCTGGGTCACCATCTCATGTGACAGTCAAAGTAATAGCACTAATGCTGACACAGTCCACTGCCAAATGGACCCACTTCGTTCTAAATAATACCTCTAATAGTTAGGATATATTTGTACTTGAACGTGTTGATTCAATTGTGTTATATACCTACCTCTTTCCTCACCTCAGGTATGATTTTGCTAAAAATTTGGTTCTTTTAATATTGAACTCTTCTCAATATTTGTCTCTGAACACACTCATATCTAAACCTGCCAACTAGGTAAAACTATTCCTTCCAATTTATTTGTTCTATATCCAACTATTTCAAAGATCCCAGTAGTCTCTTACTTGGAAGCAAAACCACCCTTTACACTAAATAAATATTTGCTGACCATCTATAGCACGGCAGGAACCATGCCAGGTCCTGGAAAGATGAAGATCTGCCGGACCCTTTCCTTTGAAGAGCTTATGCACTATGAGGAGGAGAGATGCATAAACATATAAGCGTCAAAATGCGAGAGGCAATGCAAGAGACATCTGCAAGGGGCACACAGGGGAACTATGTCACTCAGTGTGACTGCAGCATAGGCTTCCAAGGCAAGGACTTGGTAAAAGTGAAGCTGAAAGGCCAGCAGAGAGGAAGTCTGAGTGCTAGACTGAGGAGTGTGGCAGTGGGTGTGCGTGGGAGGCAAGCAAGACAGGAGAGAGCTGTCAAATGCCAGGTTCTGACACAAGATGTGCTCAGTGAATACTGCTATCAACCACCGTCACCATTACCTATGCAGACCTGCTTTCAATCAAATCATAGAAAGAAAAAAGGTTTATGATCATCTTTTAATGCATTCTTCCATTTACCCAACAAATATCTGTTGCACTCTAGAAAATGTTTTTAGGCGGGGACACACAGTAGGGACTAAAACAAAACCCTGCCTGATCTCGTGAGCTTCCTTTCCAGCAGATAATAAAGTGTCAGGTGGAAGGACACTGTGGAAAAAAGTAAAGTAGAAAAGGAGATAGGGATGAGAGGATGTGCTCAGAAAAATCACTCCTAACAGTTCAGGAAAGACCCCTATCTGGGGTCATAATTTGGAAAAAGAGATGTGTGGGATAATGTGATAAAAGCCTTTATGGAAAAAAAACAGAAGGCTTTGTGGAGAAATAGAACTAGAATTTTCTAATGACCAGTTCCAACTGCTACACCCTCATCCAGATCATCATCATGCCTTGTGACTTTCTTTCCCTTTTACCCCCTTACAAGCAATTTGGGAGGGACCTCTCAATTGGGTCCTCCTCCTATCTGGGGAGGTGACATGTGAGCTGTCAGCTGAAGGAAATGAAAGAAGGTAGGGAAATCCCAGAGGGACAACTTTTGAAGGTGGAGGAAACAGCATGTACCAAGACTGAGAGGTGAGAGTATATAGGGAGCATCTATGAAGTAGGAATTAGGCCATTGTGAAGAGACAGGAGTGTGGAAGGAAAAGTCAGAAATGAGGTCAAAGAGGGAACCAGATCATGCATACTTTGTAGGCTACCATCACAGTCCAGTCATTGGGTTTTATTATAAGTGACCTGAGAAGCCCCTGGAGGGCTGAGGGGAGGGGGAAGTTCACTTAATCTGAATTGCTTTTTACTATGGCAGCTATACAGCAAATTGATTGTAAGGGGGTAACAGGGAAAGAAAGTCAGAAGGCACGATGATGATCTGGATGAGGGTGTAGCAGTTGGAACTGGTCATTAGAAAATTCTAGTTCTATTTCTCCACAAAGCCTTCTGTTTTTTTCCATAAAGGCTTTTATCACATTATCGCACAAATCTCTTCTTTTTCCAAATTATAAACATCTCTAGAGTAAGGTGACCAGATTTTAACACTGGTAAAGCAGGACACCATTGACCAAGGTGGGGGGGTTCTTAATTAAAAATTTGGTCTATATGGAGCAACAAAAATTTTCATAGAATGCAAAAATAGTATTTTTTTTTAATTTCAACATAAGTACAATTTACAAATACAATACATTAAAAAAATTATGTATAGCTTTATTTTATTCTTTGGCATATTTCTCATTTGAATGAATATTTTTTAGTAGATTTCTGTCGTTGTTTAAAAGGTCATGAAATTTTTCACAAGAATTTGTTAAATTATATTTCACACATAAAATGGCTTTCAAAGTCTCAACACTTAATTGTGACTTTTCTGATGTCCACACTTTATTTACCTTAGAAAAACACATTCAGTCACAGCATTAGTTCCTGGTAAGGACAGCGCATATCCCACAATTTTTAGTGCATTATTGTATGGAACATAGTTTGTTTCAAAATGATGAAATATCTCTAACCATTTGTTCTCTATTGTGATTTTTGCTGATACCCAAGAGTTAACCTTTTCCTTATCAATATATTTTTTTAATAATAATACCTCGTAAGTCGAAAGTGTCATTTTCAAGGCCGGCGCTAGACTTTTTGCCGCCACTATAAAATATAAATGAGTACTGTCTGCTAAATTCATGAAATAAATGACTTACCTAAATTATCTGAATAGCTGATTTGTTGATATCACTTGTTTAACTAGCACTAGCACGCAGTAGGATGTGCATCATCTGAGAGACAGTTACAAAATGTTTTCGTGGTTGCCAATGCCAAAAAATGCCATTGTTCATTAAGTCCAAACAATGGTGGTTGAATTCTAACAACTGATCAACAATGCGAACTTTGATAAGCAGTTCTCTATAATCATTATAAAATTAACAAAAATAATGTAAAATGCATATCCTGGCACATGGCAGCCAAAAACCGTATATTCCCTTCCCATTCTCCCACTGTTCCCTAGCTTGTCATGCATTCTTTCCAAAAATTGGGACTTTTTTAAGATGCTGTGGGACACAGGACAAATTGTTAAAAATTGGGACTGTCCCCCCAAAAGCGCCAAAAGCAGGACATCTGGTCACCTTACACTAGAGACTCAGATTTCACCTTATCCTATGTTTCGCGCGCGCGTGTGTGTGTACATGCATGTGCATGAAAGGCTTTATAAAGGAGACTGGAAGCTAATTGAAAGCATAATATATTTCTTTTAACAAACCACATCCCCTAGTATAACCAAGGCATAAACATCAACATTCAAATACCTACTCATCAATAGAATATTACTTGGCTATTAAAAGATATCACTTTTGAAGTTAAACAATAGTTGTCATACAGTATTTAAGAAAATAACACAATTATAAATTATAAATACAATTATAAAAATCTTATTTAAATAATATGCTAAAAAGAAATACATTAAAAAATTAAGAATACATCAGGGCTATAAACTAATCAGCAAGTTTTTTCTTTTCAAATTTCATAGTTAGGATACTGTTTATGCAAAAATTACAACTATCATAGCTTTAAAACATTTTTGTATTACTAAATTCTAATCTTCCTATTGCTTGCATAGATAAAGACAAACTTGGAGTAGATGCCAATTTCGGGCTTTAGGAAGGCACAGGTAAATCCACCTCAGGAATTTATCTTCACAAACCCATATACTGAGTGATGACTTACAACATCACAATGACTAGAGAACCCTCCAATGAGAACATGGACTTCCCTCTCCTCTCCTCCCTTCCTGCTGATTCCAGCTGGGACTGCTCCACAATTCCTTCCAACTGTCAATCTTACTGTGGTAACAAAAGCCCATGATACTAATCCCTTCCTCCTTGAAATCCCTAATTTTCCCCAAGACTGAGCCCTTGTCTCTGGCAGTGGAAAAGACACTATCAGTAATTTGAATAAAAGGAATTACCTGCTGCCCAATATTGGATTGTGTGTACGCGTGTGGGCATGTGTTGTGTGTGTGCATCTCGGGGGCAAGTTGCTTAACCCCAAAGCTAAAAGAGCAGTGTGAAAGGATGAGTTTCCTGACACCCCTCAGCCCCACTGGAGCATGCAAAAGTTTACCAAAGCACAAAGAAAACTCACTGTAAGGACTGGTCAGGTCTACAACACTATCAGATTTGAACCACAGTTAAGCTATATATAATTAATTAAGATTCTATAAGTTGAATAACACAATTTAGCCACTCTTTATAACACTGCTTCTTAGAGTAGTGGGGAGATAGGAAAAGAGCAGAACATGATGTGTTCCAAGCTATCTACTAAAAGGTTTAAGACAAAACATGTCCATTTGATATAATCTTTGAGACAAAATTAATTGAAAGATTAATTCGTTTTTCCCTCCAAAAGGTATAAAAATAGATACTCCTAATTGCCCTTAAATGCTCCTTTTTTACCAATTACACATTATTACCTCTTAATATACTATAGAACTTACTTATTACATCATCTCCCAGTGTTTACCCTCCACCTCACTAAAATATAGCTCCACAAGGCTGTAATTTTGATCAGTTTTATTAATATATCTGATACATCATAGGTACCAAAAAATTATTTATGTGAAATGTATGAATGAATGAATACATGAATACATGAATGAAGGAATGAGAGTGGCCCATCCTCTTTGGGGACTGAAGCCAGAATATCAGGGGTAACTTGTAGTTCTTACCACTTGTACTTCTGAACAAGGCACTTTATCTCCACAAATCAGTAAATTGTTGTTAACAATCATAACAC